TGTAGGGTGCCTACACCTTTTGCACTTTTGTACATGCATATACTGTAGAGCAGAGTATTTTAAGAAGGATGTAATTATGGCATACCTCAATTAATAACAAGGACATGCTTGTAAAAATAAAATGAATAAATAAAGCAAACGTGTGTAGTTTCCTTGTTATTATGACTGTTTTACTAAGGAACTCAGTGTCCTACAAGCATGCAATCTTGGAAACTACAGGTGAGGTGATTGCAAAACGCACAGCGTTTGAGTGTAGGAATGTGGAAATACAGCCGTTATTAATGAGGGTTAGGAAAAGTTAGCGAGAGAGAGAGAGAGAGAGAGAGAGAGAGTGTGTGTACAACCCTGCTGAAAAAAACAAAACAATAAAAACCATCACAGAAATTCTAAGTGTTTCCACTACCATTAGAAACCATCAGCTAACCTGTAAAACCATTACTGGTCCTTAATGGTATCCACTAGACATGACATGCCACCAATAAAAGGCAACAATTACCAGTAGACACCCACAGGGACCATTACAGTTTCCATTAAAACCAATACAATTCCCAGTATAACCATTAAAACTATCATCATTGGTCCTTAATGGTATCGACTAGAGCAGTGGTAACCAACCCTGTTCCTGGAGACCTACCTTCCTGAAGACTTTAGCTCCAACCATAATTGTGCTCACCTGACCATCTCATCGTCACCTCAAGAAGTTCTTGGATCAATGAAAACAGATGTGTTAGATTATGGTTGGGGATGGAACCTGCACGAAGGTACAGTAGATCTCAGGGAAGAGGGTTGGTGACCACTTCACTAGACATGACATGTCACCAATAGAAGGCAACAAATTACCAGTAGACACCCACAGGCACCATTACAGTTTCCATTAAAACCAATACAATTCCCAGTATAACCATTAAAACTATCATCATTGGTCCTTAATGGTATCTTCTAGAGCAGTGGTCACCAACCCTGTTCCTGGAAGCCTACCTTCCTGTAGACTTAAGCTCCAACCATAATTGTGCTCACACAACCATCTCGCCATTACGCCTCAAAGTTCTTGGATCAACTAAAACAGATGTGTTAGACTGTGGTTGGAGATGGAACCTGCACAAAGGTACAGTAGATCTCAGGGAAGATTGTTGGTGACCATTTCACTAGACATGACATGTCATCAGTAGAAGGCAACAAATTACCAGTAGACACCCACAGGCACCATTACAGTTTCCATTAAAACCAATACAACTCCCAGTATAACCATTAAAACTATCATCATTGGTCCTTAATGGTATCTTCTAGAGCAGTGGTCACCAACCCTGTTCCTGGAGACCTACCTTCCTGTAGACTTAAGCTCCAACCATAATTGTGCTCACCTGACCATCTCATCGTCGCCTCAAGAAGTTCTTGGATCAACTAAAACAGATGTGTTAGACTGTGGTTGGAGATGGAACCTGCACAAAGGTACAGTAGATCTCAGGGAAGATTGTTGGTGACCACTTCACTAGACATGACATGTCATCAGTAGAAGGCAACAAATTACCAGTAGACACCCACAGGCACCATTACAGTTTCCATTAAAACCAATACAATTCCCAGTATAACCATTAAAACTATCATCATTGGTCCTTAATGGTATCTTCTAGAGCAGTGGTCACCAACCCTGTTCCTGGAGACCTACCTTCCTGTAGACTTAAGCTCCAACCACAATTGTGCTCACCTGACCATCTCATCGTCGCCTCAAGAAGTTCTTGGATCAACTAAAACAGATGTGTTAGACTGTGGTTGGAGATGGAACCTGCACAAAGGTACAGTAGATCTCAGGGAAGATTGTTGGTGACCACTTCACTAGACATGACATGCCACCAGTAGAAGGCAACAAATTACCAGTAGACACCCACAGGCACCATTACAGTGTCCATTAAAACCCAATACAATTCCCAGTATAATCATTAAAACGATTACAATTTCTATGAGGGTTTTTTCTTTCTTTCAGCAGGGAAATCATCCACATGACATGCTGGTCTGAACATGCTTCTGACAACTATACAAATTCCGCAATGTACGAATACCTGTTACAGGTGCTTAGTACCGGGTTAAATTGTTCTTCGAGTCACTGAAACAACCCACAATGTCAGCAGAGTAATGCCCAGGCTCATTAGAATCCGTTTAGGTTATGTTGTACCACACTTCCCAATAAACAAGCTCAACACGACCCAAATATGCGGCGTCAGATCACTGTATAAAGGCGGAACTCACCCGAGTCGCAAATAAACGATGGCGAAACAAAGCAGCACTTTAATCATCCACTGTGTTAGGGATCTGGGCATGGTGTTAAAACGTGCTGTGCCCGGGCCATTAACTCAACAAACTCCACTCACATTGGCACCTTCACTTCAGCTTGTAGCTACAGGTGAGGCAGCAACTGTATCTGTCTGGCAGACAAGGTGCTCCGAGTTCCTTTAAAGGCTTCGGGAATCCGACACCCATAGTGAAAGTTAAAATAAACCTAATAGATGCTGTGCAGTCTTTTGTTTGGAGTCGAACACACACACACACACACACACACAGGAGCAAGCGCGCGCGCACGCACGCACACAAGGGCAAATTGAGAAGCGCGAGCTCTTGTCGTGGTCTAAAGCTATATACGTTCCCCCTCCGTCGCGCTCTTTGTTTCAAAAGCGGACCGGAGTTGTGTTTCTACTCTGCAAGTCAGGTGAACCTGCTTCTCAAGTTCCCTCTTCGGCACTTTCTCTCCTCCTCTTCTCCCTCCCGGCGGAATGCCGAAGGTGGAGGATATCAGGTTCCAAAGCGTATCGGCGGCTGCTGCTGCTCTCGGTGTCCTGACGACATCTTACGTTCCTTCCGTCTGCCGGCAGGTAAGGCGAAGGCAGGTGTGTGAAGCCACGCCCACGTCGTTTATGTTATTACACCGCTGCTGCTGCTGTGTGCACCGGGCGAACTCCTTCATCAGCTGCACGTGCTGGTGTTGTTGCTGCTGCAGAGATTTCATGGCAATACATTTAGTCAAGTAGCTAAATACTAGATATTGTAAAATAGTATTTATTTTACTGCAGAATACTATTGTGTTAATTGTACAAGATAGTGTAAAAAACCAAACCCTGTTTGAGTTGAACTTTGTATGCTAGGAACAAAACAACAACAACTTTGGTTTATTAAAGCACTATATCATTTAGTGTGAGTTAACCCAGTGGTGGAGGTGGTTGAATCAATAAAGCTGGTTTAAGTACAGTGCTGTGAAGAATTACTGATTTTTTGTATCGCATACTAAACGGGTTCAAAAATGAATACAAAATCAACCTGTCCATCACAGGCAAGCTGAGTAAACACACTGTAAAACCGAATAGGTTCATCCATCCATCTTCTACCGCTTACTCCTTGTTCAGGGTCACGGGGAACCTGGACATATCCCAGGGAGCATCGGGGACAAGGCGGGGTACACCCTGGACTGGGTGCCAATCCATCACAGGGAACAATCACATGCACACTCACACACCCATTCATACACTACGGACACTTTAGACACGCCAATCAGCCTACCATGCATGTCTTTGGACTGGGGGAGGAAACCGGAGGACCCGTAGGAAACCCCAGCAGCACGGGGAGAACATGCGAACTCCGCACACACATGGCCCCGACGGGACTCCGGATAAGTTCATTTAACTCAGAAAATTTGAGGAAAATAATTACCTCAAAATTTCTAAGTTGATAAATCTATTTCTTTAAGCCAAATAGACTTAAATATAACCAAATTTTTACTCAAACTTGTTATATTTGTGTTTTTGGCTTAAAGAAATTGATTTATCAACTTAAAAATTTTGAGGTAATTAGTTTCCTCAATTTTTTTGAGTTAAATGAACTTATCCGGTTTTACAGTGCACAAAATAGACTTTTCAATGATAATGTTATTTATTGAAACAAAAACAAAGTTATCTGATACCAACTGGTTCTGTGTGAAAATGCATTTGATAACCCTCAACCCCACCCCCTTATTACTAATTCTCCAAATCTATGATCTGAACTGCATTTATAATGGGGTTCAGCTGGCCGAGATACAATCGAGCCTGATTTCTGCAATCCCTGTTCAAGCAAATCAACAGATAAATGGAACATTTTCAACAGCATGATGTTGGTTAAAAACTCTTACTCAGTAACACACTATGCCAAAATTGACATAAATTCTAGAAATGAAGAGAAAGGTGATTGAAATGAATCAGTCTGGGAAGGGTTACAAAGCTGTTTCAAAGGCTCTGAGACTTCAAAGGAGCCTCTATCTCCAAATGGAAAACTCGGCACAGTAATGAACCTTCCCAGAAGTGGCCGACCTTCCAAAATTCCCCCAAGAGTACAGCAACTACTCATCCAGGAAGTCACAAATGAGCCAAGGACAACATCAAAGGACTTACAGGCCCACTATCAGAAAGACACTGGGCAAAAATGGCATCCATGGAAGATGAAAACCACTGTTAACCCAGAACCTTAAAACTCGTCTGAATTTTGCCAAACACACCATAATGATCCTCAAACCCTTTATTAGAATGTTCTGTGGACTGATGAGTCAAAAGTGGAACTGTTTGGGTGCCGTTACATCTGGTGTAAACCAAACACAGAATTCCACAAAAATAATTCTGTGTTAGGGAATCACTATTAATAGCTGCTGTAAACGTAAGGAACTAACTTATTTTACTGACGTTGCACTACATGAACATGTAAATATCAATCCATCCATCCATCCATTTTCTGTAACGCTTATCCTACACAGGATTGCGTCGGGCCTGGAGACTATCCCAGGGGACTCGCGGAACAATGCAGGGTATACCCTGCATGGGGTGCCACCCCATTGCAGGGCACATTTGTACACATACTCATACACCCATTCACATACTACGGACAATTTTGAGATGACAATCAGCCTACAAAGCATGTCTTTGCACTGGAGGAGGAAACCAGAGTGCCCGGAGGAAACCCCCAGGGAGAACATGCAAACTCCATGCACACAAAGGTGGGAATTGAACCCACAATCATGCAAGTGCGAGGGAAACATGCTAACCATTAAGCCACCATGCCCTCTAATATGTAATTACAAATGGTTTAACAAGGTATGAGGTGTTGCTCTTTAATAAACACAAAACTGTAAACATTGACAAATCGCTGTGGTATAAGAGGAATAAAAAAATACATTAGGATGTACTGTTATAGGATAACATACCAACCCCTTAGTTTTTTCCCCCTATAACAGCATGCCCTGTCATGTTTTATTCATTTCATAACAGATTCATTTTAGGTTTAAGCCTTTCCATTTAAACTAATTCTGGTTTTTCTAGAATTATATAACTCTAGTGTGACAAGGACCAGGGAGTGGCCAGGCTGTGAGGATGCATGCCTGGCACTGAGTTGTGTAATCACTGGGAGAGAGAGATAAATGAGCGGCTGGAAGCGCCAGAGGGGGTGAGAAAGATGCACAAGTGCTTTATGTTTATGTTCTGTTCATTATTAAGCATTATGTTTATATTCAGCTGGTCCCCGCCTCCTCCTTGCACATCTTTAAACTTTGCTACAATGGTGCCAAAACCTAGGAAGGAGGAGGGACGCGCTGTCGAAGAGTTCTTGCCGCTGTTGGAGTATCACGGCACTGAGGATGCGGTGGTGATGGAGCGGTTGCCGGTAGGGACAGAGGAGTCATTGCTGGCTCCCGGGAGGTGGAGGATCCACTGCCGTCTGCCTGGAAGGGGAGGAGCGGTTGCCGTCTGCCAGGGGATGGAGGACTTGCTGCCGTCCATTGGGGAGCCGGAGGTATGGCTGCCATTCACCTGAAAAGGCGATGAGCCTTAGCCGTCCATCAGGGAGGCGGTAGTTCGGCAGCCGTCTGCCAGAAAAGGGAGGGAGCTGCAGCCGTCCGCCCAGAAATCCAGTGCCATCACCCGGCATTGTGGGGGATAGCCCAGCAGGCTGACAACAAGAAGTACTGTCTTCTTGTCTTCAACTTGCTGGGCAATCGTCCACAATGCTGGGCAAGGGCACTCCCCCACAATCTCTGGGGAACTGTGTTTTTCTCTCTCTCCTCTCGCTCCCTCTTGCTGTCTCTCTTGCTCATTCCTTCTTTATCCCTCGTCTCTCCTGGGGCCAGCCGGGCGAAGGACGCAGGCAGAAGAGCAGCAACACCCTCCCAAAATGGTTGGAGGGGGTGTACGTCAAACCAAAGGCCTGAAACTGGCCGTGGAGCAGTGTGGCAAGTAGGGGGGAGGGAAGTGCCTCTTCCTTGCCCATCTTTAAAGCTTGTTACACCTAGTTTCTTGAAGCGTTTCAAGAAACTGTTTTAAAAGTCTAGGTTTATGAAGGCTGTGAAAGCTTGGTGTATCGCAAACGATATACAATAGTGTGAAAATCCATATTATGCTCTGTCCGTGAATGTCAATGGATTATTGCACGTCATAACAGAGTTCCATCTTTTGATAATATAACCACTTAACCTTCCTGTCTGAGGATCCAGATACATTTATCACTCAAAGTTTTCTGTTAATTTCATTGAAGTTACAGATATATTCATAGTAATAATTGCATAATAGGATGGGTGGCATAGAGTGGAACCTATTCGTAATAATATAATCAGTGATCCATAACTGGTATGCACACATTTCTGACAGGAGTGAAATAACATAAATGGGTTAAATGTTTGAATATTATTGTACAAAAGTCTGTTAAGATACCTGTGAACATCTTCATTCTATATTGTGAATTTGTTGTGAGAAGAAAGACATGCCCATATGCGCCTATAGTAAGGGAGTGTGTGAGATGGCTTTGTGAATGTTTTCCATTCGTTTGTCTCTTCAAAGACAATCTGCTGTGCGTGACTGACATTAAACCACAGCAACCTGTATTAAAGAAGCAGTTACTCTCTCTCTGTGTCTGTATTACCTTAACTTGAATACACCGCACCATTACCTCATCAACTCAACCAGCTAAAAAAATAACTATGTAGCTGCACTTACTGGAAGCTACTACTGATATACCATAAGGTGTCTTTCTTCCTGATAAACAAGTCCAATAAAATCATCAGGTGCATACACAGTTATAAACACATGGATTAAAATTTAAATAATCATAATGAGTCTTTATTGGTCATATACAGGACAGTGAAATTCTTTTCTTTCCATATCCCAGCATGTTAGGAAGCTGGGGTCAGAGCACAAAGTTCAGCCATGATACAGCACTTCTGGAGCAGAGATTGTTAAGGGCCGTGCTCAAGGGCCCAACAGAGGCAGCTTGGCAGTGCAAGGGCTTGAAACCCAACCTTCTGATCAGTAACCCAGAGCCTGGCAGTGCTTGAGCTTGAACCCCCAACCTTCTGATCAGTAACTCAGAGACTGGCAGTGCTTGGGCTTGAACCCCCAACCTTCCGATCAGTAACACAGAGTCTTAACCTCCAAGCCACCACTGCTTTCTTCTGTTTTGTCTTCTATTTATTTGGTGTATGTCACTCATCTCAGTCATTGAGACACCATTAATGTAAATAAACTGAAGAACAAAGGGCCTTTGTTCTAAATTTACAATTCTTTAAAAAAAATAAAATAAATAAAAACTTCAAAATAAGACCACTAATACCAGATGGTTGTTGGTATGACTAAATGTCAGTATAAAATTCCACAAGGGACTTAAACAGACACATTTTTTTGAAGTGTTCCTGTAAAAAGATGGTATTGTTTGTCCCTGTGGACAAAGGGTGGGGATTCTCTCATTTGCTTTAATTAAACTCTTCAAACACAAGCCACTTTTTATAGAGTACTATTGTCAGGACATGTGTTAGTTTTGTGTACTGTTATACCATACCAGATCACGTCATACTTGTGAATACATGTTTGCAGATAGTCTTCAAATTTTTGTGAGGGTTTTTTTTTTTTTTCAGACCGAATGCCTTTTCAAGACTAATCCTGTTAATAGGTTTAAAAAAAATACCTGACGAACATTTCCTTATAGATGAAGAGATCCCAACTGTACAACTGACAGGCCAGAGTAATTTCTGTGAACATGATCTGTATAGACACCTGATCTTTTCAACAATTCAACCTTCACAAGATACAAACACAAATTTGTGTATTTAGCACTGAAACACAAATACAAATACACAACCCAACTCATAGTTTATAACTAATACATGTGCTCCCACTTTTGCATACTATAATACAAGGTGTCCCCAAAGTCTCCATACATAGGGGACTATGTTTGCCAGCACCACGTTGGTTGTGTCTTCATCAGAGGATGTTCGTGGACGTCCTCAACCTGATTGATTTGCAGTGCTTCCAGTCTTTTTGAATTTGTTAATAAGTTTGGCAACAGTGTCGTGTGTGTGATGTGCTCAACCAGTTTCCTGTTATAGTCCATCGCAACTTTGCGACAGCTTCCTGATCCAGCCGTGAAAATGATTTCAATACGTTCTGCTTTTGTCAAAGGCGTTCTTAAAGGCTATCTGAAAAAGAAAGAAGAAAAAAAACAATATATAATGTAAACTAAATATGAAAAAATGTTGGAAGACATTTTGCTAAGAAAAAAAAGGGATAATTTTAATGTATGGAGACGTTTCGGACACCCTGTATAATTTTCTTACTGATATGAACATGATAAATACATGTAGTCACTAAAATTATTTGGAGCTACAAATAACTCTTCATTGGTTGATTTACAGTAGATATGTCCTCTTATCATTTCAAATAATATTAAGTAGCCATGTCCAACTGCTAGATAAGAGAAGCTACTGGGATAGCTGTTTGTGTGGGAGCTAGTTGAACTGGATAGACAGCCACACCAGGCAAGGGGAATTAATTTATCAAGCATGCCAAACCAAAAAGAGGCATCTGGGTCTACCACACATGCTACAGGACCTGGAGGCCCCCACCTCCAAACCTCTTATATCATGACATAGTTCAAAGCTTGAACACTTCATTTAAGAGATTCACCATTTCAGCCAAAGAACCATTCACTCCTTGCCACATCTGCCAATGCTCTGTTTTCACTTAAAGTAATTTAGTGATGTTGATTGCAGATTTATATTTTATATTTAATTTATATTTTAGAAATATCAATTACTCCTTAATCAATGTATTTTTAATGTATTGTCTCAGTTTATATCAAACAAGAGACATATTTGCTCAAGAAGAAAGGCAATTGGTTTCATATTGGTCTTTGAAATATGCTCCAGCATGCCTATCAGACTTTCTTGTTTGTTTGTTTGTTTGTTTGTTTTCCCTCACAGACCAGATGAAAATTGAATTTAGAAATAGTCGGCAATGCTCAGCCTGCAACAAAGAGTTTTAAAGCTAACACTGCAGATGTGATTTTTGGGCAGTCATGTCCCATTGTTTATTTCCATGCATTACTGTGGCTTTGAGACAGCTGCATAAGCAAATGCATCTAGCTGTATCTGCTATTCCTCCTCATCTGGCTGATCCAGATGTAAGTGGCGCATCTGGTCTTTCCAGTAGAAAGTCAGTGACACATCATGAATACATGAGCTCAGATTTAAAAAAAAAAAAAAAAGTCAGAAAAGCCTTTTTTTTGTGTTTACTCCCATAGAAATGTACATAAAACAAATGCTAATTTGCATTTGCCATTTCAGATATGGCTCACTTTCTTTTGAGGAAATAGCTAACATGTCATGTATGAGCTTTTTAACTTCCCAAGCAATTCCAGACATGGCTCAGGATGTCTGCATCGATTTACCCTTCTCAAACAGGGCTTGTGATGCTTTGCCAGAAACCACTAAGATTGATTAGAACAGTTCTGTGGCTTCAAAGTTAAACTTTACTGTACCTCTTTATCTCTGAGTAAAGGGATTTAATTTTCCTCCTGACCTGTTCCTGTGCCAGTGACATGGTGACAGTACTGCAAAACTGCTGTTTATGAAAGATCCCAGTACTCTATGTGATTCACAATGGGAGGCCATGGACCATGAGAATGCTAGGGTATTGGAGATAAGAGCTGAATGGCTGTATTGAGTTTCAAGCCAGTAAACTAGCGACCTGTCCTTTTAGCAGACTCACTACATAAAAACCAGCTGTTCATAAACATACACA